CGTGGTCTTTTGTCTTGATGTCAATGTTTTTCATTCATCATCATCATCAGTCTATAAAGTGCCCACTGCTGAGGTAAAGTCTCTTCTCACACGGAGAAGTTTGAGCATTAATCACCATGATTTCTCAAAGCGGATTAGCGATTTCAAACTAAGAAATAATTAAAATGAGAAGTTCAGGTTTCTTCACGATGTTTTTCTTCACCATGTATGCCAGTGGTGTGTGTCTAAATAATCATACACAGTACATACAACTTGGAAAAAGTCATGTTGGTACTTGCCTGATTTCGAGTCAGCGCCCTCATGCATAAGAAGCGGGCGCCTTAACCTCCGCGCCACCATGACAACCCAATGTATTAATTCAAAATTTTCTTAAGGTCGAAATGATCATTTTGAATAACAAAACCAGTTCACAATTTCACCAATCACTTTACGGCCTTAGCACTTAATATATAAAAAAGTTTACAAAACAAATTAAATAATTACGTAATTCAGGATAATATGAAACGATTTCCCCAATTTTCGTCACCTACATAACAATTTCTACTTAATACGGAGACATATATAGAACACAAAACCCCGCTAAGAACTTTCATATAAGCTTCGAATTCAAATACCCGACATTCGAAATTCTAGAGAACGACTAGATGAAGAACAATGCTCTCACCGTACATCACTAACAAAGTACGTTGGAACTCAAGACGTTTCATTAGTATAGACTTGACAGACAAGGACAGATAACTGAGACCGACTCTAACCCGTCGGCTGCTCGAGTGACACAGATTTAACGAAATTAAACCGCGGATCTTAGGACCAGTTTTAATTAATGCCCAAAAATAGATTCGGATTCAAACATAACTTCTTTAATCTACAGGAAATGCTATGAGGTGTGAAGTCTTGATCAAAGAATCGTTCTTTTTTCGATCAGTGATTTATTTTTTTTCACATTTATGAATGAGTTACCAAGGAACACGAAGAGTATTAAAGAGATTTATGATGTTGGTCTGTCGACGAACTTGTTTAATTAACAATCCTTCTGAAAGTTTTCGAGTTAATTTTGTAAATTAATTTACTTCATAATGTAATAAGTGGATGTAAGAAGATGGGTAGACGCCGTGTTTACGTCGGATAAATTAAAACTGGGGCTTGAAACACATTTAAATATTTGGCGGGTAAACATAAAGACTGACTATTCAATTTAATCTGAATTATGTTTATTTGACATGACATTTTCACTTAAGGTTATATTCTCACGTGTAATACTGGATATGTAAGATATGTACTGTCTAGATTGAAAAAAAACGCAACAAAAAGAAAATTGCTCTAAGAAATCATAATGACTTTATAACACGGCAATCGATTTAAAAACAAATTCGATGGAAATAAATAACTTCAAACTTCAAGTCAAATACAGAATATAAAAATCCATCAACAAATATCAAAGACATTTCGATGAAAGAACTTATACAAATTCGTTGCTCATATCGTGTAATGCAACTCAATCGCTGTCACAAAGCGAGCCTGAGAAATTCATAAGGGCCACATATACCCAACGACTGCGCAATAGGGTTAGATCACACGCCACACAAAGAATGTGGTCTTTTGAATTGAAATGTGAATACATGGGCACAATAGAATAAATACCTTTAGAATTTATTTAGAAGGGAATACTGTGGTCCTTGTTGAAAATGTATTTTTCATTTCAGATTCAATTCTGGTGTCAATTTTAAAATGGTTATAGTATCTCTTGATTTTATTGAAATGTTTTAGAAAAAGTAGGGCAAAAGGACCAAAATTCAGTCTGCTAAATCGTCCGTGAATCCTGCTCGATTTACTTCACGTGAGATCAAAGGGAAAAGTTTAAACCCATTACGTATGTGTAAAACAATTCTATTTACCTTTCTTCGACGACACACAAGGAAAAGTTTGTAATACTCCATAAATGTTGGTATGAGTCGTTCTGCAATCAAAAGTTGGGTCGACCACAACTTCAGAATATTATTTGCAGGCTGTGGTAACTTCGTGTACAACTACTGGCAACTATCAAAACATGTGGAGAGAGGAAGTGGGTAGTCAAACAAGTGAGATGACTGACAACCGATTATGCGCCCTAATTACGTTCGTTTAAGAATAAGAATAACAAATAAATTTCGAGGTTACTCGATTTACTGTGATCACCGAGTGATTGACAAGAAACGGGAAGAATCTGCGTTGAAATATTTACATTGTTATGTTGATTGAAACGATGAATATAGTCTATAGTCGATTTTGTGTTTACCTACAAATATCAAAGGTCGAATACCTAAACTCAAAAGGATTGATTGCTCAAAGTATTAATCTTTTTTAAATGGGTTATGTGTGGGAATAATAATTAAGGTCGCAAGAGGACTAAACCTTTGAGGTCATTCAACAGCCAGTAATAATTTACAAAAATGAATCCTTTTTTAAAAATAAAGTTTCATATAGTATAGTAAAGCACATAAATTGGCAACAGAATTGATACATTACTCTAGAGATAGTAACACAAGGTACATTAATTTGATGTATGACCCGGCCCAACAAATGTATCTTAATTATTAATGGGTATGGCCTCACTAGGCCCTCGTTATACTGTTAATTGGACCTTAAATTGGTGTAGATTCACCTTTATGTAAGTTTGTGGTCCTATGGTACGCAGGTTTTGAATTTTGAATACTTTTGTGATAGCGACTTCATAGTTAGTTTGGGGGTCATAAATTGAATGGGTTTCTGAGATCCAAACTTGGTGGCGGTGAGTACAGATTAAAGACTGGACTTATCTTTCTATTTACTTACTCTAATGTTTGATTAGTTAAAATTAAATTTTAATGTATTTAGCAGAAAAAAAATTCAAACGTACGCTTTGAGAAACGTTGCAAAAACCTTAAATTCTAATTCATCACTGACAACTAGTGACATCTGTTATCAGGAAACATAGGAAAGTTGATATGTCGATGTTTAGAAGTAAACATCACAAAACATTGGACAGTTATACATTTAATATATGATTTTGTCACGAAGGAATGACCAAAATAATTATTTCCTAACTATAATAGAGAGAAAGAGACAGAGATAGAGAGAAAGCAAGCTGAAGATAATGATGACATTAACAAGTACTATGTATGTAATACTTAACTGGACAAGTTCAAAATCAAAGATGACCCTTACTGTACAATATTTTTGCTTTCTCAATAACGAAATTGAAACCATATTTGAGTCCTGTAAACATGTCTTTGCCAATCGATCCTTTAAGGAAACAATACAATACAAGAGACACAATTACGCACGAACCACAATGTTAAGACGCTTTAATTTAAATCGATCTATAATTCTATTAGCACGTGTCCAATGTTCATTGTTCAATAAATACGAATACAATACAACTGGAAAATATTCACAGCGTAAAAGAACATAACACAATGATGGCAAAAAATCAATTGATGACATTCAAAGGAAAAATCGCAGAACAATTTTACATGACTTTTTCAAGCGTCAATAATGCCATTACAAATCGATTATTGGAAAAAGTGACCTATTAATGTCTATGTACAATAGGGTATGCAGGTTTCTTTTTTGATGAGACACAATCTAGGTTAGATATTATTAATTGAGCTATTAATTTTTAGTGATACTCAGCCTAGATTAAGGCTGAAGAAGTGATGCTCGCAAAAAAGGAAGTAAAGCGCGGAAGGGAACTATACGTCTCACGCCCTTACCGTCGCAGCACATACTTCGGACGTCGGGGATTGAGCGACGTTCTCCGGCCACTGTATGCCTTTGGAGGGCAAGCAAGGATAGCTCGTCACCTGACGTAACCAGACTAGAGCGTATGGCGTGTAGCGTTCTGTTCGCGCCTTAAAGAGCCATTAGACCAATATTGTCTGGTGTGTAGATAATCATAGAAAATCACATTGGTTTCGAACATATCAGGTATGAGAAGCGGGCACCTTAACTTTCGATCCATCACGACAGTTTCGACCGTAAGCAGAATTATAGCTGTTGGAATCACCCGATGAGGCAACCATAACTTCAAAACATTCACGTGTATGCTATATACATACGTATGTATGGTTGTTTGCAAAGTGTAGGTGTGTACGACTCTGCGCAACGCCAATTGAATTTTAATCGCTATATCGAACTGAATGATGTAATCAAACGGATTCAATGTATATTTTTTTGGAACAAAGATAGGTGATAAATGGACTTCCTGATAGGTACAGACGGGATATCCTATTCTTCCTGTTACGGCCACAGACAAAATGTCGTGTTCTAAATTTAAAATAATAGGCCTGTAATAATGCTTTTTATTATTTAATTTTATCACATAGTTAGATTGGATTTTTGTGTCATACTAACGGTAGAAGTGGTTTTTGACAACATAAATTACGCGGGTAGTAACGCGAAAATAATTATCTAAATACCTTGGTAGGCGTGACGTTTCGACCTGGTCGCACAGGTCGTGGTCACGAGCAGACTGCTATATTAAAACGCGAAAGTTTAAAATGTTAGTAAGTGATTTTTTGTTTCATTTATTTTTAATCGTATTCAAAAAGATAAAAGATACTGACAAGAAAAATATAACAATTAAACAATGGACTCTTCTGTAGGAGCAGTGGCTGGGCAACAGTTTCGAATCCCGTGCGAATCAAATCTTTGTATGATAAACAAAATATTTTATAGGTCTTCAAAGTCAAAGTCAAAATCATTTATTCCAACTAAACCATAAATAGGTACTTTTGAAACGTCAAAATAGAAAAGTAGTCTGTCAGTCTGTTCGTCAGTGAAGCTAAGTGCTCATTCCAAATTGTAGATTCGAATGGAGAAGAACGAGCAAGAAACTCCATCGTTACACTTTTTTAAAAAAATATTTGTTTTACAATTTCACTAATATAACATTTAGAATACATTATTGTACCCATGTGAGAACAATGCAGAGGCAAGTTGTAAAAAAAAACAGAACAAATGATGGGATCTGTCATAAAATTTTAATCCTTTGTCGTCTCGAACATGGCGCTCACATATGCGTACTCACAATCTTTAAGAGTGCTTCTATATAAACTCTTTGGATATATAAATTAAGGGTTCATTATTTTTGAAAATTTTAGTAAATACAGACTATATTGTCCAGTGGAGCTGAATCAACACGCTGCCAGGCATTCTTATCCTCAATATAATCTGAAAGTTTGTAGTATGCCCGTCTACACAATTGGCGTTTAATATAAGTTTTAAGGTCTTTAGGTTTTTTGGTCTTGGTGTGAAATTGTAATAATATAACAATCATAACACACCTACGACACAGGCGAATTTATTTTTTTAAACATTTAAGTACTCTAGTCCCAAAAAAAAAACATTTTACAATAGCTTGCATTAGCGTTGAAATGATAACATCAAAATGTGATAGAAAATTATTGGCTCTATCTAGTACTGATGGATTTCATTTTTTGATTGACATCTTAAGTGAACTCTGAACGATTCTGAATGATATAGATGGACGGACATTTGTGTGTTTTTCAATTAATTGGTATTCACTTTATGGATTTATGTTTCAGAAAATCAATCATTGTTTTTACAGGTTTTGTTTATGCGTCTTGTTTACAATGTTCAATGGATCTGCTTTTAATTGGTTTGAGTATAATGTATGTGCTAAAATGAGACAACAAAAAATAAGTTTAAAGCGATTTATCACGATAAACATTTTACATCAATTTACAAGTAGGCTTGCCACTAATAATACATGAATTTACACATCACTAGGCGAGCCTATATATTCAACACCAATTTTGGAGAGTGTCCTATAAAATATTTCTAATGTATAGTCACGTTCGCTTATTACTTTAAAAATATGCTTACAGTACTAGGAATTTCTAAAGCCGTATCAGAATTAACAAAGTACCTTAAAAAAAGTAAATTTGTTTTAATGTGAAAACGAGACATTTAGGTAAGCGATCGGCGGAGTCTATTGACACCCACAACATCATAGGTGTCGCAGGTACGTTACCTCTTATTTTAAAGAAAGAAAGCTTTGAATATTGTAATTATGTGAAAAGTTATGTGAAATGTATCAATCCTAAAGTGCCAAAATAAAGGGTTGGTTTAAATTATATCTTGGTAAAGTAATATGAATAAACATCTAAAAAAAATCTTACGAACTTGTTTCTAATACATGTTAAACTCCATCAAGATATTAAATAAATACTAAGATACATTTTACCACATTACAGCGCAGCAAAAGCTTTAAGAAACTCTTATATGCTAGTAGTCGTTTCAAAGATTTCTTAGGATTTAAGAACTGCCAGTTGACGATAAAATATTAAAACAGTCTAAGGAACTCCACTCCGTACGATTCAAAATTAATGGTAGAACTTTGCTAAATCGTCTTCGTTGAGCAGCTTTAATAAAAGAAGCCTAATAACCGAGTGGTAAGGATTAAAATCGAGTGGCAAGATAGAAATAAGCCGCAGTCAGCAGCTGCAACGCTTCGCTTAAGCGCTTAAGCGTCAATATGTTTCAACGTTACTCACCGATAACTTTCAAACTAAGTTCAACAGAGAACCTTAACATGAAGTGATAAAGTTCCATCTTGAACGGAACCATGAACTAGAAGCAGAAGCAGTACTCCATAACGTGCCTTCCTCTAAGATATGCACCGATGACTTGCGAGTCGTTTTGAATAAAACTTTAAGCTTTGACAATAAAGTTTAAAATCGTACAGCAGAACTCAATTACTTCAACTGTGTAAAGAGGCGTTAAGGCTTACTTTTCGCGTTAAGTAAGATAAAATAGGTAAAATCAACATTTAGCACGTTATCTTCCACGTTAAAAAGTGTCTTGATTCTGAGTAATACGGTTGAAATTTGGAAAAACTTACCGAAGGTGCTGTAAGAAGTTGGAGTGCTTCACTCAAGTTTTTGAGTGTGAGGGTGTTTCTCTCGCCATCTTCCTCTTCAGGTCCTGGAAGGTGTACCGAGGACTGTCGAGATCTGAATTCTGGTTTCTTTGTACTGGATCCACTGCCATTTGCAAACTGATGTTGGGAGGATGCTCGGCGAAACGGACACGTCATGGTGGAATTCGGTGATTTCAAGTCATTGGTTTGGTATTCAGTTTAGTGTGTTGAAGAGATCTGGAAAAAAGAGAAAGAAATTCATATTTATATGTATACGTTATACGGTCGCATTTTACAAAGCAACATTTCGTAATGGCTTTGTCTCTTGCGTTTTCGCATTGAGTTCTTTAGTTGTCGAGAAAAGAAAAGAAAATACGACAGAGGAAGGTGCAAAAAGTAGTGCAGACGGCCTAAGGAGCATACGGAACGACAGGAAGATCTGAATTTGTGGTTTATTGTGGATTAGAGACAATAAGTTTTTTGGTTTAAATGGAAGTAGAGTTAACAACGTTATTCATACGTTAGTGAAATTATTAAGAGAAGCTATTGTTAAATTAGGTCCCAGTAGGCGACAGGGACAAAACTTTGATAAAAAGATAAGAGAATATAAGTAAGTGACATTACTTATATACAGACAGTTTTCGTTCCAGAACTAAAGTTAAATATAATTCTGCACTATTGAATCACAACTATATACTAGTTGCACCTAAACAAAATACATAGTTGAGCAAGTTTTTTTAAAGAAAGAAATAAAGAATCGTTAATTCACATAGATTTATCAACACTGGTGGTACCAGATATTATATGTAAAGTAGTGTACAGTTCAGGCTGTATTCTGCCTGCGTGCAAATAATTTTATAAAATAGTACAATTTAAAAATAAATTCTATTAAAGCAAAATCAACATAATTATATTATTATTAAATACAATCTATTTCATAAATATTAATATTCATTAATAACCCATATTGCATAAATACTTCAATGATACAATAGTATAAAAGCATTTTTCTTTTAGCTATTGCTTAATATTTATTTTAAAATACAGTAAGTACAGTGAAAGAATTTTGGCAATCCGACCACCGGTTCCAAAGATTACCTCCTACATATAAACTTACAAACATACAAACTTACAAATTTTACCTCTTTATAATATTAGTATAGATAGTAGTGTATGGGGTATGAAATTCACCTCATACTTTACATTTTACATTACTGTAAATACTTGTAATAACTAAAACAAGACATTTAAAAGTTAAACAATAACGAACAAAACAATAGACAGTTCACAGTTTATATCACTTCGCAAACTGCCTTGAACTGTTTCTCTTTAAACAAACTAATGTACGTAAATAGTTTAAAACAAATAAACGGTCCTTTCCTTATTCAAACAACATAATAGTTTCCCAACAAATATTTGAGGTAGGTTAGTTTGGGGACTGGCTAATCTTTCGACAGTAATTGCTTTGTACTGCTTTCTGAAGCAGTACAAAGCAAGAAAGAATTTGTACGTTTGAATGAAATAATTTCTATATCTTAGCTAAATCGTTTTCGTAAGTATAGGAGAGTCAAACTTCGGCACGAATGGGTCGGCTCAACCGGAGTAATACTACGGCCTCACAGAAAACCGGCGTGAAACAACTACAGTGTTATGTTTCTCAGTTCGAGTAAGGTTACCGGAAGCTCAATCCCTCCCTCTCCGCCCATCCTTTCTCAATCCTTAAATATCCGAAACCCTTATCGCTAAATCACGGCGCTGAATGCTTAGCATCAGGTAATCTGTCTGCTCGTTTGCCAATATACCATAAAAAATACTAACATAATTATGAGTCCTTAATAACAATTATTAAAAATTAATAGTCAGAACGCCATGGAGTCTCTTTAACTAAATTAGCTTACTTGAACAATACTAATAACGAACCATTTTAATTGTGAAAGAGTCATTATTAAACTCTTATCGGCTTTATAAAAATTATCAAGTAATATGTGACTCAAAGGGTCTCTTATTTAATATCAAGGTCTTCGCCCAAAAAATCATGGGTTGTTGTATTTTTGGAAATTTTCAACAACTAAATGGGTTTTTATATTTTTTTTTGCAGCAATGATACACAAAACATAAGAGACTTATAAAAATGTGTGTCACCGTCAGAACGGGTCTACTCAAGCTGGCGTTTTCTTTCCTCAAAAGACCACTGCAGAACAAAGTGGCGCGGTTCTCCCACAATTCTATATTTAATATTTCTGTGATCTTTAAAAGAAACTGACCTCTGAGTTTGTTTCGGCATTTCTTCTCAGAGTAGTCAGATAGGAAATGCCTCAATTGGTTTGTTTGTTAATTTAACATTGACGAGTTAAACTTCTATTTTATGACAGAGCATAAATAATAGAAATATTTCATCTTAAGTGATAGTGGAAGTGATACATTGGGCGATTCTTTCTTTTCTTCTAACAATGGAATGTTAACATATTAATATTCCTAACAAAACCATCATTCCAAAGGTCTTTGACCTTGACAACAACAAGAGAAAGGGTGCAAAACACAATACATATTAGTGTGAAATAATTGTATTTATTCCCATTACTCCCAAGGCTGTCACTTCATAAGCAATTTTCTTCGAGGACGCGTCCTCCCTTAGGGATCCCTCAGAAACATGCATGTAGGTCATATTAATATATGCTGAGTTTGGTCTACTTAGGATCTAATATTGTTTGGCAAATATTAATATTTGTTCTTATTCATGTTTTCAGTGGCCCAAACATTATTTTTAAAATATTAACTTACTGACGTTTAGTGTAATATAAAAATTATGTACCTATAATAAATGCATTAGAAAAACTAATAATATAGAGACTTGACAGATATGCTATTGTAAATTTCTTAATTTTTTTTCTTAAGTTATGTTTTGTTTTTGTTATTATCCTCATTCAAAATTGTATACAAGAAACAACGTTTAAACTTATAAACCTAACAAAAATACTAATTTAAAACTCAATAAACCCCATCATCCCCAGTTATATAATAAAACGAAAATACAAAAATCCATAAATTATTTTAGTCGACAGTCTTGTTATAACTTCGTCTTTCATAATAATAATAATAACTGCCTTAGTTTTATTAGAAGCAAACAGAAGCCTTACAATGCCGCCACTGAACTTGTAACCCCACAATTTCCGAGTCCCGAGGGGATTCCTCTTATCAAGAAATTCAACTTCCTATTAAATGAGTTTTGAGAAGTTTTTTCTACATTGTAGAAAGGTCAACTTTATGAAAATTATTTTTTAGATTTATAGAGCAAACGGATTACCTGTAAGCAATCAGCGTCGCCCATGGACACCCGCAACGACGGAGGAGTTACGAGTGCGTTGTCGACCTTTTGGGTATTAAGGATTTGGAGATTTTGGAAAAAGGAACGGATTAGGGTAGGGGAAGGATTGGGCTTCCGCTAACCTCACTCACACGGCGAAACACAACTCTTTGGTTATCACGCCTGTTTTCTGTGAGGCCGCGGTATCACTCCGATCGAGCCGACCCATTCGTGCCGAAGCATGGCTCTCCCAAACTTACAGTGTATAATGGTTTTTGTTTTTGAAAGCTACTATATCAAAAAATATAACTCTCATATACGATGAAGGAATAGAAAGGATTTGTAAATTGTATTGTGGATTGTTTAAGATAGTAATGATGACGTAAATGATATCCTTTTCCTTGTCTCTTTTTTGGTTAACGAGTATACTAATTATCACCTGTCATTCTGAGGGGAAATTTGGGCTTGACTGTGAAACTGTTTGCAAAATTTTTAGACGCCGGTTTTCTATGACCTTGACCCTTGTATACACAATTATCTTAAACTTAAGACCTTAACTTGGCTTTCTCCATTGCCAAAGCGGTGACGAAAACACACTCAGAAATATCTCATTAACGTAAATCAGAAATTAATTAAGCCGACCACGGGTCTCACTGAACTCGTCGATTTTAAAGTGCTACGTTGAAACAAAAAGGCGGTCAAGCACAATACTGTTGCATTCTGCTCAAATTGCCTGTTTGCACGGCTACGACCCAGATATTAAACGATGTTTTCGTTTACTGCATAAATGTAAATTTATTTCTGTGTATTTTATTTTTGCTTTAGTCGTGGTTCGAATAGTTATAATCAGAAGTAGGCTTGTTGCGTATAGCGATCCGATTGGAATTGTGATAAGTGTATATTATTAGATTGTAATTAATTCTGAATATTTCTGGATTTGGGATTTCAATAGGCAAGTATTCCATAAGAAGGTTAAACTCCAAATTTTTTTCCGATTTATTATATCTTGTCTCCATTAAATTCTGGAATCAATGCCGCTTTATCTCCCTCTATCTCCCTATATATGCTTTAATCTTTAAAACAACGCAAAGGATTTTGATGCGTTTCTTTTATTAGATACGGTGATTCAAGGGGAATATTTATATGTATAATAACATCCATTAAATAGTGGTGAAATTTAGTATCAGCTTTGGACCCGTGTAAGGACGGAGCGGGTTGTAAGTAACTCTATATTTAATGACCTTGAGGAATTAGCGTTGAATGACCGGCAACGCTATTTTGACTAATATAGTGTTGTTGTCCATGGGTGGTCCTAATCAGTTACTATCAATAGACTAGCCTGCTCGTTTGCCCTCAAACTGTAGTAAATAAATATTTTCATATATAAATTGCATGCGGACCCGTTGTGTAAAAACAATTAATGAACAAAAATAAAAATGTTTGAATATTTTTTTTAAATATTTGTAACCAAAAACCCAAAAATCCAACAACAAAACGTTCACATTTCATAAAATATTTACACACCACAAAGTGCATCGAATTTTACCGGAATCCTTTAACATAGTTGTGGTAAACGTATTTATTTTAAAACAAAATGGATTATTGATGTAATTAATGTTTATAGGGAAGAGTTTCACAATTTCAAATTGGTTGGCTTGGTCAGACAATTGACCGAAGAGTATAATTTGGAGCTTTAATTCCTGGTATAAGTTAATTGCGTGGTTTTTGTATGAACATTAAGGGCCTATTTTACAATGGCTGAAAAGCTGATATGTACCAGATAAATATAAATATAAAACGGAATTTGTGTAAACTATGTACCATTTCGATAACTTTAGTTCTCTGTCTGATCACCTCGTTTCGAATACGATCC